TTCTGTTTTGGGTTAAAAAATTCTAAGTTGTGTTTTCAAATAATTATGGTTGAGATGGTGTTGTTCACAAAGATTGAATCTCAAGCCTATGTTATGTTATACTTGGTTTGGTATGATTCTGAGCACTTAAGGAATGTGCATATGGCTTATATTGTGTGAAACATAGCTTGATTTGTTTTTGATAATGCCAAAGGGGGAGAAAGGTTGTGTGTATGTAGTTGTTGTTTTTACAGGTATTGTGCTTGTATGTGTGTATGTTTTTGCAGGTTGTGTATGTTGAAATTAGAAGCACAAATGGTTGAAGCCTAGATTGGTTGTCATCATCAAAAAGGTGGAGATTGTTGATCTTAGAGGAGCTTGAAGCTTAAAGGAGTTTTGATGATCAAAAAATATGTGTCAAGGACAACTACAAACAATAACAACTTAGAAGCACAAAAACAAAGTCAAAGAAAATGTCAAAGAAAATGCTATGTAATAGGGATTAGTATATAAATTGTTTTGAATGAGTTTATATGTTGTGTGTGCTTGGTGTGCTTTGTGCATGAGAAAAATCTATATCTAAACTAAGTAGAGAGTGTATGATGATGAGTTAAGAAGATTAGAAAGTTATTTTGAGGCTTAAAATGAAGTTTTGAAAACTAACTCAAAATAATCGATTATCGTTAAATATAATCGATTATTCCAGCAATAGGCAAAATGGGATGCCTTGCTGCAATAATCGATTATTTGCCAAATAATCGATTATCCCAGAAATAACTCTCTGGAAAAATCGATTATCCAGCAAAATAATCGATTATATTGTTCTTGGTTGGTTTCCAGAAAACCTGAAGAACAAAATAATCGATTATTCCTTAAAATAATCGATTATCTGGGTCTCAGACTTTTATAAATAGTTTGAACTTTTAGAAACTTCAGACATGAGTTAGAACTGAGAATCAAATTTAGAAAAGCGTTTTTGTGGAGTCTTTGTGACAATCTTGGAGAGTTTTCTTTGTGAATCCAAGAAGAAAAACATTTGTGAAAAACTTTGTTAAAAGATCATCATCATCATCATAATATTCTTGAAAGGGGAAGATTAAGATTTGCTTCTGAATTCCAGGTGAATTCGTTCCTTTATTCTGTGTGAATACTTGTAAAATCTTAAGAAGGGTTTCTCAAGTGGTAAGGTTTCTTGTAGTGGGTTTCTAAAAAGGGTGCTTTCTTGAGGTCAAGAAAGTGGTTATCTTTAGTGTTGAAGTATATGCATGTGTGGTGTGCTTGTAAACCTTCTTCATTGAGATAGTGGAACAAATCTTGATCAAGTGCTGATTAAGGACTGGATGTAGGTCACATGTGGAGTGGCTGAACCAGTATAAAAGACTTGTGCAATCTTCTTCTACCTTTATCTTTTACTTTGAGTAATATCTTGGTTGAACATTAAAGAAGATAATTCTTGATTAACATATGTGTGTGAATATTGATGGTTTAATCTGAATTTAAAGCATTAGATTTGAACCTCATTATTTTGTAATCAAGAAAACATATAGCATTCATTTTACTATAAACAAGTCTTTGAAGAAACTTCATTGAAAATTCAGTCTTAGAAAAGTTTAAGTGAAATAAAGATCCTAAATACTTTGAAATTTTTTAAAGGGTCATAGAATCCAATTCACCCCCCCTTCTTGGATTGTGCCATTCTTTTCTAACAGGTCTAAGTATACAAGTTGCACTATCAAGGGAGGTGAGCTACAAGGAGCCATTTAATAACCAAGCCTTTTCAACTGGAAATTACTAAACCCCCTTATGCTTGCCTCATAAATCAAATTTTCATACAAGTCAAGTCAAGTAATAGTGTGTGTGTGCACGAAACCTTTAGTAGGCAAGGAAGCCTTCTAAATGAACTTTGGAAACGTTCCTAATTACAAATGGAAAATAAACTAACGAAGAAAAGTAATTAGAGTATACACTAGTTGGATTCCCTAGGATAGAAGTCCAAGTGGCACTAAGAGTATCTTAAACCACTTCCACAAGTACTAAACGTTCTTGATGAAAGCAATTAAACTAGAAGAATCCTAGTGGAAGCCTAAATGACACTTAAAGTCCTTTGGCAACACTTCCACAAGTACTAACCGGTTTTAAATCTTTATTTAAAACTATTTAGGAAGTGGTGGGATTAAGCAAAATATTTTCCCAAAACAACCACTCCTAAATGTGAGTATGTGCTAACAAAAGAAAGCAAGAGATTAACCCAAAGATAGGGCTAATGAATTATAATTAAAATGAGATTTAATACAAAGAAATTTGGAAAAATTCACAAAATAGAAAATAGAATTTAGTGACAGTTTTGGTGACTGATTTGGTGACCGATTTGGAGTCCATGGTACTGTTCCTCATAGATCTGTTGTAAAAGTTGGTATCTAAAGGTGCAGGCTTACCTTGTTGGAACAGTGGTAACGAAATCCGTCACAAAAGTGGTCGCTAATCTAGTCTCAAATTTGATCCAGAATCTGTTGCTGATTCCCGTCTCTAATTTTGTCTCTAAGTTCGTCTCTAAATCTATCACCTAAAACAAAAAAAAAAAAAAATTCTTGGCTGCAAAATGAGCAAACAAGTGAGCCTTTCCAATGTGTTTCACTCAAGGATTTTATTACCTTAATCTCCCTCAAGTTGTAGCCTCTTTGAGATGAATATAATGTGTCTCAATTATCCCCTCTTTTCCAAGTGTAATGACTTGAAAATGGAACTAATCTTTACCAAGACTTAACAACCATCAAGAGAATGTGGAGTCCAATAAAATAAATTCTAAAAATGCACAATTAGAATAGGCTAAACTCAAATAGGAATTATTATGACAAACTCAAAGAAAGCCAAGAAAGACACAAAGCAACAATTAAGGGACAATTTCAACACTAGCACTCAAAGGAATAGTCCTAAGAATGGCTCTAGAGTTAATTACAAAATTAAAACAAATTTTTTGCTATTATTTTGAATATTTGGAAAAAATTTTCCAGCCACTGGACAAAAATTAAACCTCAAAGAAAATTACACAAAATTTCAGGGCCAAGTGCTCTAAACTTGTTTTATTTTCTCACTTTGTTTTTCTAGATTTTGTTCTTTTGTTTTCTTTTTTCTTTTGTTGCCTTCTTGGCTCTTTTTTTTATATACTAAATATGAGCACTTTAAAAATAGAGGCCAAAAAAGGATATAAAAGGTTTCCAAGTGGTTGAGAAAAGAGGAATAAGAAGTGTAAGTGTACAAGTCAAATTTCAATCACACTAGTTACTAGTTTTGCTACTAGTTTGTTTTTCTTTTTGTACACTTTTGATTTTAATTTTTGTTACATTTCTTACTCTGTTTTGTTTTTCCAAAATAAGCACGCAATACACAAGACAATAACGGAACAAACAAGTTGAAACAAGAACAACACAAAAGCTTAAGAGAGAAGTTACCAAAGAGACTTAGCTCTTGATACCAAATGGTGGAGAAATTGTAGAGAAATCGGATTGATGTGATTCCTCTCCAAGCTCCTCCCTAGACCTTTGACTCATTAGTTCTCCTTAAGCTTTTCTGAAGACTTCAATGGAGGAAGAGACTTCAGAACTCACCAACAATGGTGAAGAACACTCTCAAGTGGCGTCACTCCTTGGAGGAAGATTAGCCACTTCAATCCTCACCACACTCTTGCTTGAAGAGGATAAGAGGAATGGATGGATATCAAAAAGGTTTGGAACTTTTGGAAGAGAGAAAGTTCAGAAGAAATTTTGGAATTCCCTCATAAAATCATCAAAAGTGTTTACAAAAGAAAAAGACTTATATAGTGAGGAGGTGGCTTATGGTGCAAGCTAAGCTAACTATGGTTCAAGGAGAACCATGGTTAGCCTTCTTATATTCAAGCTAACCTGTCTAGTAACTTGGAAACTTGTGGAACAAGCTTTAGCTTCAAAGCTTGGGGAGCAAGCCAAATATTAGAAGCTTGTAGCACAAACTATCCAAGTGTGTGGGAGAAGTTAGACACAAACTATCCAAAAATGTTGGATTTGGCTTAGTTAGGTTCACCTAAGGAAGGTGAGACCTAGTTAAGTCAAGTCCTTGGATTAAATGGAGCAAAATAAGTCTAATATGTAAAAATTGGCTTAGGCCCACTACAGGCCCAATTGCTAGCTTTACCTACAGTCTTTGCTATTTATTACCCCACTTCTACTACTAAAAATATGAAAAATAATGACCTTGAATACAAGGTTAAATGGAGAAAAAGTCTCCAAATAACATACTCTAAAATCCTAAAGGAATGACCTACAATAAGGAAAAGAGTGTCTTATAAATACAAAGGCAAAATACACTTGTACAAGTACTACTATGTACAAATATTTACAATATATTTACAATGGAAGCTTAGGGACTAACAAGAGGAATCAAGCTTAGGAACTAATAAGAGGAATCATACTTAGTGCTCATGAATACTATAGGTCTGTGAAACACCTCCTTTGTAGAAATCTCCTGTAATTTCTTAGTCATGGACCTAGTTAAAGGCCTAATATGGTCTTCAAGTGTTTGGTCTGTGGTGGTCCTCCATCACCTTGTGAACCCAAATGGGTTATAATGCATGAAAACAAAAGAAAAACCTCAAGGATCTAATTGAGGGTTTTAAGTTGTTGGGGTTATCATTAAAGTCTTAATAACCTTGTTGAGATGATATAGAATAAAAGTATTGACTTTACAATAATAATTTAAAAACTATATTTAAGATGATTTAGAATTAGTTAATAATATAAAAATATTTATCCAAAAAATACATTATATATAAATTTTAAATGTTTCATTTAATAACTATATTACTCAAACTTTAATTTTATATTGATAACGAAGTATAATTAAATTTATTGAAATAATAAATTTTTTAAAATAATATAACCATATATAACAATCCCGTTTTATTTTTCAAATTTACTTTTTCTTATATGTATGCGGGGAGGGTTTCCTTCTAAACTTGGTAAGCATCTCCTTAGTTTCAAGGAGTTCAAAGTTTAAAACACATTTTGGAAAAACATGATGAAGGAGGTGGATGTTGTGGGAGAAATTGAACGTCTGTCTTCACTTTTGGACGAGGATGGCAAACCCAAAAGAACAGGTCCATTTCTTAGACGAAATCTTCTTCATCACAGCATCACTTCACTTTATTCCTTCTTCATTTGCATATTTCAGTTTTAAACTAAAATGAGCATATTATAGTCTCCACGTAAAAAAGGGTCTCTTTTTACTTTTTCTTTCTTTCTCCGAATTATCTGCATGTGATTCTCTGTTCTCCTTTGGCAAATTGTTATTTGGCTGGAGCATCTCCTACTCTTTCTAGTTTTAAATTTGAAAAAAAATAAAAAAATCAGTGTATATATTAAGAAAGGTTCGTTGATTTTAGTTTGGTATTGTAAATTGGTTGAGAATAGTAGAATACTTTGCGATTCTTCTACTGCAATTGTGGGTATTAGATTAATTAGAAATAACTTCTTTTTCTTGCAGATGCTTGAGAGATTAGAAAATTATTTTAAAATAGAAATATATATATATATATATATATATATATATATAATATATATATATATATATATATAAAATTAAGATTAACTGTCAATTTAGATACAAGTTTATAAGTATTTTTATCTTTATTTTAATAAAAAAAATATCCTAAAAAATACTTGTAATTTTTATTTAGGCAGGTTCTAAATAATCTATACATCGGACTAGTAAATATAATGAGTTAATCACCTATATATTGTCAGTGTAAAGTTATTTTACACTAGTAACTAATTATATTTTTTAATTGTGTCATGTCCTAGATTTACTTTTAACAGTGACATGACACAATTAAATAATAGAGTTAATTATCTATACACTACCAGTGTAAAGTTTTTTTTACACTGACAACCAATTATATCTTTTAATTGTGTCATGTCACTGTTAAAAGTAAATATGTTTATAGTGACATGACACAATTAAAAAATATAATTGGTTGTCAGTGTAAAATTTTTTTTACATTAGTAGTGTATATGTAATTAACTCTAAAAGATATAATTGGTTGCCAGTATAAAAAATCTTTACACTAGTAGTATATAAGTGATTAACTCAAATATAATAATAAAAATATATAATAGATATTCGACCAACATGTAAATTAGTTGACAATAGATTTTCTTAGTTCAATAAATTTTGGATTTTATTTTTATATTTGATTATGTTAAATATTTTTTAAAAAAAATTTACTCATGATAGTTTAGTCCAATGAAAAAAAATTACTTTCGATAAATGAGTGTGAACGTCACTTAAAAAAGACTTGTTATAGGTAAGTAAATTTTCTCATATTTACTGTAGTAGATATTTTTCCCGTCTCACAATGACTGCAATTATAACATGAAAAATATCAAAATGATATATGCTCTCGCTTTTCAATATTATATATTTTTAATTTATTCTTTCATAAATTATTCAACTACAATTAGAAGTAATGCATTTAATTATTGGTTGACTATTTTAGTAAAATTGTATATAAAAAATATTTATTATTATTTTTAATATGTTTGTCAAACCCTTAAACAAGTCAAATAGAAAGGCTCATGACCTATGTAACCATGATATGAAAACTACACTAATGATAATTAATGCATAAGTATATAAAAGTTTTTTTTTCACTTCTTACTATCCTGTTGGTTTTTATTATAGAATACAATTTATAAAACAAAATTGGTTATTTTCATGATACATTTTAAAATTTATAAAGATCATTAATTTTTGTTTTTACTATTTATCCTAACTAAAAATTGTGAGTATTTGTGTTTTTACTATAAAATAATGAGAAAAAGTTTGTGAGTATTGGTAAGGATTTAAAAAAAAAAAAGTTTGAATTCTCTTTTGAAAGTTATCTGAATGGAATGTATTTAGAATTTTTTTTAAATAGTGTATACATCCTAATTTGAATATCCTTATATGACAACTTAAGTCAATTATTATTGATATTAGTATATAAGTAATATTCTTTTAAAAAATCAACAAATAAAAATTACATAAGCAGTGTATTACATCTCTTATAAGAATTTAATAATAAATAATAAAGAAGAATAGCTATTTTACAGTAGTATTGTTTTTAAAACTCAATAAAAACAACTATTAAAATAGGACTTCTGATTCTACAACTGGAGTACAATAAATAAATTTACATGAGCTTTTACTTTGCTTTGACAATCGGTTCAAAGTTCAAACTAATTATGATTTTCTTTTATAAAAATTGATTTATTTAAGTGTATTCAATTAATGCAGGGGAATCAGTGTATCACTAATAAGGCTCTTAATGATTCATGTTGACTTTGGTTACATTTTTATGTTATTTATTTTCAGTTATCGATAGAGACATGTATCCTCTTTTCCAAGAATAAAAAAAATATACAAAGAATTAAAAATAAATACTATTTTAACTTTTAATATAAAATTAATTATGTTATTTATATTTATAATAATATATTTTAATATATTATCGTACTACGTCTTTTTAATGAAAAATAAATAATAAAATTAATTTTGTAAAACTATTACTCTTTTTATTTATATATTAATTTTTAATTTCTGTAAAATGAATGAGTTTTTATTATGGTTTTTATATAATTTTTTTTAATCTCTTTAAATTTTGTAAACATTATTTTTGGTTTTCAATAAAATAAGCAAATTTTAGTTTTATTTATTATAAAATATATTTTTTTTCATCTCTAAAATTTTAAGTCATATTTGTTTCTAATGATTATTTTAAGGTATATATACAATACTTATTTTAAGAATTTATTATTAAAAAAAATAGAGGTATCTCATATGGATAAAATATCATAAATACTTATGAGTATAATTACATTATTTTATAATGAATACATAAATAATAAATACAATTTGCATTTATAGAGACCAATCTTCAATATATAATTATTAAAAATATATTTAAACCCTTTTATAATTAATTAGTTAATGGGATGAAGGGAATAAAAGTTTTTAAATGAATAATAAATTATAAAAATATTGATAGTTTTGGAACGAAAGAGTACATGTATACTCATAAGTATCTGGACTGTTTTCTGCACCAAATTAATACTCCTATATAAGCAAATATGAAATTAATACTCAAATTAATACTCAGATACTTGTTACTGTGCGTCCAGATGAATATTTTGTAATATAATTATTTATAAAATTATTTTATTTTTATTTTATAAATATTATAATCATAATACATATAATTTCCATATCATAAACATTTTGTGTATATTTTAAATATTATACTTTATTATATTCATGTATATATATATATATATATGGCGTTATTTTTAAACTATAGTAACTTGATCTGACAATATGATACAGTGAAAATTCATAAATTTTATTATATATTTCTTCCCTCTCGAAGTTTTAATTTTTAGCCATTTTTACAATTGTTATTTTAAGAATTTGAAAGCTTAATTAATATGTTTGTCTCAATTGTACAATTATGTAATTTACACTTTCTATATCAAATGTTTACTTATAACTTTCAAAAAAAAAAAAAAGTAATAGAATTGAGATTTGAGATATTAAAATAAGAAGTTTCAATCTAAATTTACACTACGAAGTACTATTTTCTTGTGTGACAACAAAAACAAAGCTAGCCTCTCACATGAATTTGATTAATTCAAAGTTTTCCCTTATTGTTAAGATGCCTGTGTACTAATTAAGTCATCTTTTGGAGTATATCATCTTAACTTAGCTTGTTTGAGTCTCGAAGGAGTATCTATGCTATGAGTGTACTACTTTGGACTCATCAACGTACACTTTTCAAAATCTCAATTATATATGTGGCCTAAGTAATGACTCTTATTATATGCTAGTATATATATATATATATATTTCTACTAGTTTTTCTACAAATTCTCTTTCATACTAATTGAAGAAATATTAAATAAAAACTAAATATGCTCTACGTATTCGTTTGTCTCGATGTCAATTTGTAATCTTTTCACTAAAAGCAATGATGTTATAGACTTATAGATTCTTCGTAAATAAACAAATTTGACTTGATTTTATTATTAAACGTGTGTATTGGATGTATCTCCACATAAACACATAATACTTTGAAAACAAAAAAAATATACTTGGTGTTTACCCTATTTAAAAATTAGGAAAAATTTATAACAAAAAAGTTAGAAAAACATTAACTAGTTTATGCGCTAATTAAAAATGTAATTAAAAAATCATATATTTTTCTTGATTGAAACTAGAGCTGTCAAAACAGGTCACTCGGCCCGGCCCGGTCTAGCCCACCACAGGTTGACTATTTGGTGGGTCAACTCAACCCGGTTCATTTATATTTTAGACTACATTCATATATATATATATATATATATATATATATA